CTTTCATCTTACACCCAAAGATTGGCATTTGAGGTCCTACTGTCTATCTCAATATAAGATCTGTCCCAGGATGTGATTTTGCTGAACAATCTATCAAACTCACTCATGTAACCCTTTCCAAACTATCATGCAAGCATTGCAGAATAAGGCCCAGAGAGAACAAAGAAGTTGCCCAAAGCCACACCACGAAGTGATAACTAGCGTGGCACTAAGATACAGACAGTGGAACTGTTTTAGGGGTGGTCACTAAGTCTGGATCCAGGACTCTGTCAGCCTCAGCTCATGTACAAGGTAAATATCCTTGCCTGCCACCACTCGGGCTACCGTGGCACACGTGTGAGGAGCTCTCGGGTTAATCTGCCACAGGCCTCTGAGTCAGGATAAAATCTTAGGTTTCTGGCCCTCTGCTCGGTCCTCCCAGTGACTTGAGGCACCCTGACATCATGGATGAAGCAAGGTCTGCACTGTGCAAGCAGACACACCTGGCCTTGCCTTCTCCTGGCTCTGCAGTTTGTAGAGAGAGTCTTGCTCTTCTGGGACTTCTATTTCTTTATCAGTGACAAGGAGAGTGATATTTCCTCTTATCAGGCACTGTGGGATCAAACAAAGTGCTGTGAGTAGAAATATCTAACACCAAGGCAGGTGGATTTAAGTGCTTAGTAGATGGGAGCCGATAATAAGCCAGCGGGCCTGATTACTTCCATTTCCAAAGGAGGAAACAGTGGCCCAGAGGAAGTTCAGTGCTGCTAAAAGGACATAGCTTGCAGCCCCCAGGAAACGCTGTGGCTCCAGAGCTGGGCATGCCTGGGACGCCCAAGCCAGGGGAAGGGCACTGGCCTTCCCTCCTGGCAGCATGGTCTCTCGCTCCTCCTCGGCCCCACAGGCCTGCTCTGTAAAGAGGTGAGTCCCCACGCTGTCCCTGCTCTTCTCGAGGTCTCTCCTGATGCCTGGGACAGCATCCTGCAGCCTTTCCCATGGAGGGGGAGGAGCTGGCAAGTCTGAGCTGAGGCTGAGCCCCTCCTCCTCCTCTCCACCCTCTGCTTCCCCAGCCGGAACCTCACTGGAACCTTTAGGAGCCCCCTCCCAGCACCTTGTAGGGAGGGCCCTGCAATTTGCTGAATCAAGGAAGCTCCTGAGTCACTGAAAGCTGGTGATGAGAATGTGCAGGTTTCTCTCTAATTCTGTGGAAGGCTACCATGATCATCCCTATTACTGCTGGGCCATATACTCTATGTCAGGCCTTTGTTTATGGGGCTAGCAGTCCTCACCATTACTCTATAACAGTATCATAACTTCATATTACAGATGAGAACAGCAAAGCCCAGAGAGCTTAAGTAAGTGGCAAAGGACATAGAGCCTGGAGCCAGGTTTTTTAGATTGTCCTTCCTTCTGGCCCCTGTATATGGTGGGTTTGTTGGGTGGGAGAAGGGCATCCTACTACTGGTGCTATCCCAGAGAGGGGAGGCTGAGCACCACTATACACTATGGACCTTAGCCCAGAGGTACACTGTACCAAGATGGCCATAGCAACGCCGCCCATCCTGTGCAGTGTGACTTTGCCAGCCCTTGCCCTGATGAAAGGTGGAGTTATTGTTCTACCCTCTGACTCTGGGCTGTCCTCAGCCTTGCTTTAATTAGCAGGTTGCATGGAAGCAGTACCATGCCTAGTGTTTTCCAAGTGTAGGCCTCCAGTACTCCCAGCCTCCCCTTCCTAGAATGTGGTGTCACGTATCATGGGAGAGGTTCCGGCCGGCCACCCTAACATGAGTGACCACACTGTGAGAAAGGCCCAGCCAAGGGCCAGAACCAACAGCTGGTTTGTGAAGGAGGCCTGGGCAACTGGAACACATCCCAAGTAGTCCGTACTCACCAGCAAAAGGCCTGTTTTTTTCCAGTAGCTAGGGTATCTCCCAGCCACCGAGGAACACAGGCCTCATTCCATCCAAGGGAGCCCTTGCCAAGATTCTGGTCCAGCTCACCTGGAGGGAAGCCAGTCCTGGAAGAGCACCACGAAGCCAAAACACCAACTTCGGGTACACAGATGGGCTCTGGGGTCAGATTTCAGCTCTCCAAATTTCCATTCTGCCATCTACAAAACGAGGGTCAAAGAACCACCTCAGAAGATTCTTGAGAATCTTTCTAACATGGGATGAAAGATAAAGCCCTCAGCAAGGGCCAGGCAGGCATAAGCACTTGTCAAATATCACCTTCCCGTAACACTTTTATTTTCTTAGCTAGTACCATTGAGATTTGTCTGCAGGTGGCGGCCAGAGGACGGCTGAATCTTCTCTTTTCTTTATTTGCCCCCTCTGCATTTTATACTTTCTGTGTCTCCTCTTTCCAACCTCATCCTGCTTCCTCCTCCTTCTTCCTCTTGCCGTGCCTTGGTCCCTGTCTCAGGACCCGCTTTAGTACCTCCCAGAGCACGTGCTTCCCCATCTCCCTACCCAGGTTGTGAAGTGGATAGCCGCCCCTCAGGCGACCCCTTCCGGAGGAGGAGCAGCTCTCCAGCATTCCCCGCCAGCACCAGCCCACCTCATGCTGGATCTCAAGAGAGTACAGCCAGACGGAGGCTTCGCATACCACTTTCCAACTCACCCAGCGGGAGGTAACAGGTGCCTGGAACTCCAGTTTCAAAAGCAGGTTCCTTCCCGCTACCCTGATTATAGAGCTGCCAATATGCTAATGAACTTCCTACATCTCTCAGCAGGGCCCTGCTCCATGACTCACCATCTCTCCAACTTGTTTGGCCCCGAAATGCTTTTTGTTGAGCTTCTCTGGGTTTGTGAGTGATGGCTTTTCAGAAGCTGCAGCTCAATGAGGAGCACCAAAGATTGGAGCTCATGTTTGCTTGGCTATGTGGCCGGGAAAATTTAGCTGGTGATTTACTGCCCTTGCCTTTGAAACTAATTCCACCTTTTATTAAGTTGCTGCTATTGTTTGGCTCTGGAGCTAGCCTTCTGTGGGTTTTGTCGTGTCATTTAGATACCAACCCTAACTGAGTGGTTCTTTTGTGCCTATCTCCTACTTGAGAACACTAACATCAGAGAGGATCAAGAATTTGCTCAAGGCCACACTGCAGGTGAACGGAAGGGCCAGTGCTGGGACGGGATATGCTTTTCATGCTCTCCTTAAATATTTGTTGCATTGCTGTAATATGTTAGGCATCTTTGCTCTGAAAGAATTTTTTTTGGTTATTTGTTTTCTTTGTTTTAACCTCACTGGCTAGTGCGTAAATGCACACTTTTGGGGTTTAAGCCAGTGATTTTCACCTGGAATGGTTTTGCCCCCCAGAGGACATTCAGCAGCATCTATAGACATTTCAAGCGTCAGGGTGGGGAGGTGCCCGTGACATTTAGGGGGCAGAAGCTAAACATCCTTCAGTTGCAAGACAGCTTCCACATCAGAGAATTACTCAGCCCAAAATGTCACTAGTGCTGAAATGAAGAAAGCTTGACTCAGGAAAATAACAGCAACAACAACAACACATTCAGAACCATCACAGATGCAAAAGCTTGTAGGGGCCAAGTTAGGTGACATAAAGGACTACCTAAGTGCTCAGCCCTCTCCAAAAGGGAACAGGGGCTGCTTGGATCCAGCTGGTTGTTCCTACATGAGACTTGGAACAAGCATACCTAAGTGGCCGGCTCTTCCCGTTTTTCAGTCCAGAAACACAAATGTTAATGTGAAAATACTGTACTCCTCATTTAAACGTTGGCAGCTAATTTGAGCGGTTTTTTTAGTGCTATGTGAATCAAGGACAGCACATCTGGAAGTCTTGGAAGGATGATATAGAAGGCAGGACACAAGTTTGCAGCCTCCCACGGGATGGCTTCCTCACAGCAAGCCAAGAGTCCTGAGTGTGTTCAACAGCTCAGCCACGCTGCCTCTGCGGAGCCCTCAGGCTCATTCCAATGTCCCTCTCCTATCCTCTTCCTTTGCTAGCTAGTTTATTGAACTCTTCATGCATAGTGACGCCTGCTCAGAACACCCATTTATATTTACAACAACCCAAAGAGACAAGCAGACACTCCCATTATAAAGACAAAGGATTCAGAGCAGACAGGTCATGCAACCTTTACAAGGTGAACAGTGTACGGCAGTCTCCCTAAAGCATCTGGCCGCAGGACCTACCTTCTTTGCTTGTTCGGGAGACAATGCTGGATCTCCAAACCCTACCCTGTGAAACTCACAAGGGAGTTCTCTCCCTTGTCAGGCAATCAGTCCCCTACTGGGGTCACCCAGGACTCCCCAAATACTCCAAACCTCAGCTCCTCCATCTGAAGCCCAGGTTTTTACCTGGGAGTGGGGTGGATTTCGTTCCCCAAGGCACCTTGGGCAATGTCTAGAAATATTTTGGGCCATCACAGGTGGAACAGTGACATTGGCATCTAGTGAGCCCACGCCGGGAGATCGCCACCACCACACAGGCAAGACCCTGGAACAAAGAGTGCTGCAGCCTAACATGTCAGTGGTACCAAGCTGGAGAACTCTGATCTAAGAAACTCACTGGCAACCACTGAAAAATGGAAAAGGCAACAAGCAGAACAGTCCAGGTGACCTGGTCTGTTCTACATCTCAAACACTGTTCACTTTTCTCCTCAGAGCATTGTTTTGCTTTGCCCTGTCATTTTGTGGTAATCCCATTTCTCCATACGAACTGTCCACCCTGTGGAATAACCTCCCAATACAATTCTTACATATGAACAGCAGCAGAGCAAGTAAGAAATGGAAAAATTAGCAATAGGTAGAAGAAAACGAGATTTAGAGTACAAAATAAATCCTCGACATTCGAGCATAATATTGTCTACATGCCTCAGATATTAGTGTTCTTTCTGTATGCCTCAAGCCAGTGATGGCTAACCTGTTAGAGCTTTCGATGAGATGAGAGCCCGCTGCAGCGTGTGTGCCGTAGGTTTGCCATCACTGGGCCGTAACCCGAGCTCCCACCAAACCGTGATGCGCACCCCTCTCTGCTAAACACACACACATGACTGCACTGGGTTTCATAAAATGATTTTAATAGAAAAGTACAAGATATGAATAAAAATAAATAATCTTTCTCTCATTTCTAGCCCAGCAAATTGTACACTGCATATAAAAAGGGTCTAAAATGCAATCTCCCCCCCAATTCCTTTTTGCTTTTGAAATACTGAGACACCATTTTCATTCAACCTTCTAGATTCAACGTGATACATTTTTTTTAAATCATACCAATCCTTAATTACTCTACATCCATATTTTAAAGTTGGTTAACAAGATGTTTCCCTAAAACACTATGAAACCACCAGATTTAAGTGTAAAGTTTGTGTCACTAGGTAAGTCAGAGGGTCTCATTTCTAAGTTTTAACTCCTACGTCTCTGAATGTTTCCTGAATTAAAAATGTTTCACCATCTCATTTTCAAAACATGACATCACATTTTTACCATCCAATAGAGAAGAGACTAGAAAATACTTTTTCAAAAATAAATATTTTAATGTATACTTTACAGTACTAACGCGGTATTTTAGACCTGCACCTTGGTGGTTATCCACATTCAATACGTGCTTCGAGTTACAAGCACCTGATCTAGCTCTGTCTTCATTGCTTTTGTAGGTTGTTTGGTCTTTAGGGGCTGCTTCTGCGGATCTTCTCCTGGAAGTCAGCGGTACCCGTCTGCCATTTGGAGGACCCAGCACTCTACTACCATAGCATATCCGATAATGCCAGTGGCTTGAAAGAGTTTGCTGAACCACCTGAAAACTGATCTTGGTGAAGTCTTGAGCTAGGAGACTGCTCACACCTCCACAGTGCCCCAGCCAGCCAAGGAGCTCAAAGAGCTGACCAGAGAAATGGGACTGGAGAGGAAAACCTTCCTTTCACTTGAGCCCATAATGGTTATTTTGAACATGGCTCTGTTTGTTGCTGCCTATGTATACATTTTTTGGTTAATTTTCCATATTGGGAAGATTTTGAATGCACTCAAGGATGAGAAATAAAAATATGCTGACACTGCTACATCTAGTATATGTTTTTGCAATAAAGAACACTGGTCAATATACAACGCACGAAAAACTGAACCAGATGTGAATCCTAGAACCACAGCGTTTGAATTTGCCCAGAAATGCTATTTTAAACACTCTATATGTTGATCTACTGTTTTTTTTTTAAATAATGTATTCTTGGCATCCATGAGAAGTTTCAATATGTTACAAGGTCATCTGGAAAGAAAAAAGCAAGGGGCTAAAGGATCAATCTGTGCAGACTGCCAGCCTCGGTGCACATTTTCATAAAGCACAAGCACTCACACGAATTGCACTTAACACAATAAACCTTTAGTTTTCAAAGGTTTCATTCTCTGTGGACTGAGGCTTTCTTTTCATAAAAACAGCTTTCCAAGGGGCAGAAGAGCACCACACATGGTCCACAGTGAATTCAAAGAGAGAGGTGCAATTATTGCCGTGGTAAACACAAAGATACATTTCTGGGTGAAGGGGACTAGATCTCTGGTCATGGAGAAAAGTATGCGCCTTTTGAGCTCTTCTCCGGGATGTTCCAATAGCAACATGCTCTAAAACAATTAAGTTTCATGCATAATGCTAAAAGAATGTGAGCAATCCTACAACCAGCTTTAAGCCATCTGCTTGATTTTTTTTTTTTTTAGGAACATATATAGGAAAAGAGAATTCCCTTTTTGTTCTGCTACATATAGAAATCCTTTGAAGCTTCCAAATAGTTTGGTTTTTGTAAAATTCTCCACTCTTCCATTATTTTAACATGTAGTTATCCAAAGCTATCCCTCACAACTTCTCCAAAAATCTCCACGTGAATTATCTAAAGGACAACTAAAACCACTTACCAATATACAAGTAACATTTTATTTTATATTCTATCTTCCATCGGCATAAGCCTCTCAATGTTTGTTTTTAAACCAGTGAAATATACAAATCACACAAGACAGAAATATGTACATTAAAAGTACAGAATAAAGGCCATAGAAGATATACATAATATCTGAATGACACGTAGAATATCTTACATTAAATAGTTTCTTTTAAAAGCTAGGATTGTTAAACTCAACTCTGTTCATAAACATGAATCACTAAAAAGGAACACAATCTGATTTAGCAAATAAAAAAAGTACTTCATGGTTTTTGTAGAATAAAAACCAAAAAAGTGACATTTTAAACTCAATAGTGCTTTTTAATTTCAAGATCTTTTACTTGCAATTCACTGCAACGGAGGGGAAGTGAACATCCTTGTGCAATAAATTAAGAGCTACGTGGCTGAGGTGATGTGAAGCCCACCACGCCCAGGAAGGATACAGGAGATCTGCGTTCTTGCAAACCCTAAAAACAACGACCATCTGAGATAAGAACACATTTGACAGCGCTTTGGGGAAAGAGGTGTCCTTGTTTTAAAAAATTGTTAAACTAGCTATCTATTCAGTGAGCTGGCTCCTCCTCAGAGACTTGAACAAGTTCCACCAGATCCACCAGGCACCTGTTTCCACTCTGTGGAATGCACTAAGCAAAGCAAGATGCTTCTAGGTTGTATCTATTAATGTCCATGTGTGTGACAAACAAATAATGCCCTCTCCACAGAGAATACAGAAAGGGAAGCTGGAGGGGAGGGTGTGCGCAGGACAGAGAAAAGCAATCTTCAAACCAACATGCACATCAGCGAATCAGACTGCCGAGCTCCCTCAGAAACAAGTTTCCTGGCGCTCAGGGTATGATCCCAGCAGGGCCGCAGGCCAAACACAAGACTCGAAACACATTTGGAAAGATCCTGACAGGACTGCAGTGAAGGACAACAATGCTCCAGACAGAAAGAAGCCCACAGTAAACTGTAAATATAAATCCTGGCTGCACTGAGATATAATTATATTTATATTTATATATGTATATATATATATATATATATATGATATGTACAAAAGACGAGATATCAGGCACCATTAAACCACATCGCTCCCCTGTAAAGGCAACTGTTCGAGTACATCAGGAACAGTTAGGGTGCACCTGCAGTGTAATAGGAAAAGCACGAGTGGATGGATAGTTTAAACACAGGATTCTAACAGTGGAACACGGTGACACCTCTGTGGACTCTGTTAGCTAAGTAATGTCATCAAACCATAAGAAGTTACTGTGCCTCAAAGCAAAAGCTTTAGGAAAAAATCCCTAAGTAGCAAGCTATTTTCCGGAACTCCTCGTGCTTCATCTCCTGTCCTACAATCAAAGGGGACCCAGCGGAGCTGCCATTTGGAAGCATGGCCAGCATCACATCATGGCACAGAGAGACCAGAGAGGGCTTGGGGTCAGGTAGGAAGGTGGGTTTCACGTTTTTTCCTCAGTTGGGTTTTTCTGCTCTGCATGAAATCATCCTGATGTTTAGGCTGAAGATCTGTGAGCAGAACTCAGGTATTATTTCCATTAGCATTTCTCAACCAAGTTCTGTCTCTCAGACAAGGACAAGACACTGACTGCTCTGCATGTTCAACTCAACACATCCTGCCCAAACGAAAGTCGGGTATCCAGAATCATTTCGGGGTAACACCTTCAAATCCCCACCTAGAAGATTTCAAGCTTTCTAACTTTTGGAGACTTTTCTGCTGCCCCAACTTTTTACTTAACTGCTCTCCAAGCTTCATAAGCTGTTAGAACAGAGATAATCTGCAGGTGGGATATTTGAGAAGAACACGACACGTGCTACACCTGTTTTTCTTTGAAGATTGGAGATGCTTGCTCTTATATTTTAAATCAGAACCCTGAAAATATGAAACACAGGCTGACAACCCCTAGGAAACTGGGTCGCTCTCATTTTCTGTGTGTTTGTGTTATTTTCTCCAGACCTTTTATCTTGCCCCAGAGCATTTACAATTCATTTTAGTCACAGAAGCTGAATCATGCACACATTTGTACCTCTCTGCTCCAGCTGGACCCTATCCACCCCAGATGACTCCATAGCTAAGAAAAATATGTACTACCTTTACCTTCCGGATGTGTACTACATCCACACAGCTAGGTTAGGGTACACGTTATTTCCCTCTCTTCCTGTACTATCAGAAGAAGCCTTGTATTATTACGTTCTCAAAGATCCACAAAATAAATATTTTTCTTGGCTCCCACCCCCATTATTGCCAAATAATAATTATAATATTAATAATAAACCACAGAGTTCTTAGATGGTAACAGGAAAAAAAAATATGGTTCCGGTTGCAGTTCTTGAGGAAAAATAAAAAATATTTTTAGAAAGAAGAACCAGAATCACTGTACTTTCTATAAATAAGTGGGTCCTGGGCGCGGGGCTGGGTGACAGGCAGGCAGCCACTATTTGCACACGAACTGGTCCACAATCTCAGTGCATTTCTTGCACTTGACGTAGCAGCACCAGTGAAATTTGCAGTGGCAGCGCTCAGTCTGCACCGTCTTGAACTGGTCGTACCCGCGGCCGCAGCACATGAGCTCGCAGCCGTCCATGCCCTCCGATGTCTTGTTGCACAGGCGGCCCTGTGTGCCCAGGGAGCCCGTGCTCTCGTTCCGCACGCAGTAGTCAGGGCTGGGGTCGATGTAGACCAGGTCCTGCGTGGTGGGCGAGTTGAAGCGGCTGTTGACCTGCACCAGCTTGCCCCGGCTATTGAGCCGCATGGCTGCGGCGCTGTCGTACTTCTCCTTGAGCGCGTCGCCCACCTTGCGGAAGTCCGCCAGCTGCAGCCAGCACGTCTTGAGGCTGCAGGAGCCGGACACCCCGTGGCATTTGCAGGCCACGTCGGCTAGATTGTACACCGTCTGCAGGGAAACAGACAGTCAGTAGGCAAACCCAAGGAGGACGCAAGGTGCAGGCGTGGGCTACAGTTAACAAAGCTCCTGTGCACCGCCTCCGTGGAGACATGGTCCCGGCTGAATAAGGGGCTCTTTTATTTCACTCCCCACTACCAGAAGTCTTGTACTGCCTTCTTTTAAAAGTGCTGCAAAATAAATATTTTAGCCACTCATTATTATATCATCAACCACTATGCAGTTTTTAGATGGGGACAGGAGGAAAATAAAACATTCCGGCTGCCTCTTCTTCTGCAGGGAGGCATTAGCAGAAACACATGAGCGTGCATCCTCCGTATTGCTCCCATTTCCTTTTCTGTGGTCAGACGGTGAAGGTCATGCTATTGTCACCCCCATTTCACAGACAGAAAAGTGAGGCCCGGAGAGATGGGTTCCTACTCTAACCACTGCAAAGCGGGGTACCAGGATTTGAACCCAGGTACTTGGTCTCTAAGCCCATGCTCAGTGCCTTGCCCCTGGGTACCCAGCTGGTAAATGTAGAGCTGGGAAGGGGGTCCCCTTCCCAGCGAGATGAGGGTTCAAATCTTTCTCCACTCCTACTGTTATGGCTGTGTGCTAGATGTTGGGATAAGACCATTTCACGCTTGCTCTCACTGAATTATTCCAGCAGTTTTGTGATGCGGGCTAGACTGGAAGACAGTACAGTGACACAAACAGGGCAGGCGGCCTGCACAAGACATGCAGCTAGCATGTGGGGCCCTCACTTCTGCATCCTGCATAGTCCCTGCTTTGCTGACGGCCTCCTTTGTAAGAGCACCTGCCCTGGAACCAGCAGATATGGATCTGCTCCGGCCCCTGTCCTTGATCTTAGAGAATTGGCTGCATTTTCCTGAGCTTGCATTTTCCTCTGTAAAGGAGACCGTGAGGTACCAACCTCTCAGCCTCATTAGAAGGATGAAATGAGGGGAGGCATGGGAAGTGCTTGGCACAAAGGCACACTCGGTAAGCCTGGTCTTTCTCCAGGGTGATGGGGGCATAGTGTCTGGGTCGCTGCCCAGTAGCAGCAGCCTCCTGGTAGCAGTGCCTGTGGGTCTTGCCCTGTAGCACTGGGCCCAGCAGTCTGGGAGGTAGCGGTTGCCTATTTATAGTTCCTGCTGCCCACAGCTCCCTCTGCCAGCAACCTCCCAGAGTTCGCGTGGGGCGGGTGTGCCGGCCAGGACCTGTCAGGAACCTGGAGGCCGCATCCACCCAAACAGTTACCTTCTTCCTCCAGGGATTCATAAGGGCTTTCTTTTCAAAGAAGCCAAACTGTACTCTTTTGGCATAAAGACTTTCATGTTCTCGGCTAGTCTGAGGAAGGTTCTGCAAACATATTTAACCTTTGCTCCCCTTTGAGGAAAATAAAAAGCTAATGCCCTGAAGAAATTCTAATATGATTTCCTGGCAAAGGGCCCACTTCCCACCCCTGCCCCCACCGTCCCAGAGAAAAGCTGTCTTCTACGTAACCTCAGCCTCTGGGGTCCACACTCAGCTCACTGCTCCAATGCAGATATTAAGAGAACTGATAATATCAGGAGTGCTTTCCGAATTCGCCTAAGTCCTCTCTCACCACTGAGAGTCCCTTCACCCACTCTCCTTGGTCATCAGGCCCCTGAGGATTTGTTAGGCCCAGAAGTGTTAAGTACCAATGAGTACTGAAAACAGGGCTGTGGACACAACCCTGGAAGCGGCCCAGAGTCAGCACGCCTCTGTCCTGGAGACCCGTGTCACTGGCCAGCGTGGGAGCCAGCTCTTATAGGTTTCCAGAGAGCCTGGGTCTGGCCACTGACCCCCACCACCGGCCCAGTGACAGCCACCATCCAGAGAGTTAATCCACGCTGCAAGTGCCACAGCAGGAGGAACCTGGTAAAAGAGGAGCCACAGCTCCTCCGCAGCCATTATCTGAGCCCTCGTGGTAGCGCAAGTGAAACTTTGCAGTTTGATACCTCCCTGACACCCTCACGTGTTTCACAGCAAATCTGAGGGGCAGATTCGTCAGGTGGAATTAACCACCCAGTCTGTGACTCTTCTACATCCTCTACTTCAAAATGTTTAATAATTATCATTTATCACCCGCTTACTACTGACCAACACTAAACCAAGACCTTAGTTTGCTTCAAATATTATTTTGTAGGTTAGATATGGTAGAGTATTGGCAACTTTGAATGGTTCAGATCTCTCCATGAGCTCACTCGGTCCTCACTGTGACCCTAACTGACAGTTCCTGTCATGGTCACTGACACGTGGAAATGCGGAAACGGGGGCCCAGAAACCCACAGGAACACAGAGAAGCGGATTTCAACCCACTTTTCCCTCATTCCAAAACCTCTACCTCTTCACCGCCAGTCTGCGTAGCGTGAGTGTAAGCAAGGGACCCCAGGTTTATATTTCAATCCATTAACTTTCTTCCACAGACATGAAGGAGGTCACTTAGCCTCAGTTTCCCAATCTTTGAAATGACGGTACAGGACCGAAAGGCCCATGGCTCTTTCTAATCCTTTATGGTCTACTCTGTGATTATCTTTCTTTTTCCCTCACCCCAAAATACAGAAGAGTCAAATCCCTGACCAGAAAATTCCTGGCACCTACCTTGGGTTCTGTGAAAAAATAATCTCCCTGGTTTTCAGTGCTGCCAAAGTTAAGTTTTCACCCCTTCATTTTAAAGCAGCCATAAAATGCCATGTGTTGAACCGTAGGGGGAAAAGGGGGGGTCTTTTTAACTACTGTGGAGTGACTTTTCATATCCCCGCCCAGGGAAGGAAAGAGGGGACCCAGGAGACTCCACAGGGCTGGGCACTGTCCTCTATGGGTGCTGCTGTGGCTGTCTCTTCTCCTGAGACCCCTGGCCTGATGCTCAGGCCTACAAAATTCCTCGCTGGTAAAAATGCTGTTGTTTTCTTAGAAAATCCCTTTTTAAAATCCTCAATCTGTCAGACCTAATGATATCTGGAGGGCAAAGAGAAAAAGGGAGAGAAAAAGAGAGAGGGGGCCCAAAGCTGGGGTGAAGCCCTTCTCAGCAGGGCCCCTATTAGGAGGAAGATTAATTCTCTCACAAATTGGGACCCCCACACACTAAAAAAACACGTTCCACAGAAAAGGAGAGAGTTGCTAGCATTGCTGTTTGTATTTCTGGGCTCTATTAGCCAACTGCACTAGGGCAGGCTAAAAAGCCAAGGAAGGACCTGTCCCAGGCACCTAGGCCGGGCTGCAGGAGGACGGCTCAGGTCCGGGGCGCTTCCTGGGCGTGCACGCCCTCCAGAGGACCCTGGGAAGAGATGGGGCAGCCAGAGGAGAGAGATCGGAGGAAAGGGAGGGAAGGAGGAAGAGAAGAGGGAAAAGAAGGAAGGGAAGGGAGAGGAAGCGGCTGAAACAGGCGGCGGAGGAATATTTTTTAAAGCAGGGAAAGGAAAAGGACGAGAGGGAGGAGAGGCAGGAGGGGCGGCGGAAGTCAGGGAGAGGCTAGGACCGGGGCTTTGGGGCGGGGAAGGGCGGCACTCACCCTGCGGCCCGCCTCGTTGTTGTGCAGGTTCATGAGGATGCGCGCGCTCTCGTAGGAGCCCTTGGCGTGGATGCGCTCCCGCTCGCGCGCGTCTACGAACTCCTTGGCGAAGCGGTAGCCGTAGTCGATGTTGTCGCCGCAGCCGCCCCACAGCCAGTCCCGCGGCAGGTCCTTGGGGCGCGCGGCGCGGCTGCAGCCGCAGGTGGACAGCTCGCCCTCGCGGCACGCGCGGCTCATGGCGTTCACCACCCCCGCGGCGCTCACCGCGTAGGTGAAGGCGGTCTCGCGGCTGCCTGCGGGCGGAGACGCGGGGTCATCCGCCTGCTGGGGGTGCGGGCGAGTCCACACACACCAGCCCCGGGCCCGCCCCGCGGAGCCAGTGCAGGGTGAGCCCCTGGCACTCCAGGTTTGCATCCAAGGGAGGAGACTGAGGAAGGGGCGCTGGGAGGACCCCTGGCCCAACGCTTGCCGTGCAGCCCCAGGCCCTGCTGGTGGGCAGGGCGAGCCCCTGGCAGGCCAGCTCTGCACCTCGCTGGGGAAGGCAGAGGAAGCCCTAGCGCACACCTTCCTGGGGTGTGCCTGGGCCCTCCTAAGGCAGCGGGGCAGGGCGAGCCCCAGCACACTGCAGCCCCTACAGGAAGGAGGGCAGGCAGAGAGAAAGCTCAAGCTGGCCGCTCCTGATGGGCCCTGTCCCTCACCTACACCCAGGCTCTGGGCCCACCTTGCCAGAAGCCACATGGAGCAATTAAGCACAAAGAAGCAGATACTTAGTGTCTTCCCCTGACATTTCTGAGCCTAAGGCAGGTCTCTAGCAGTGCTGGACTGATTTTCTCTACAGTTCTTTTAAAGATATTAAAAACTGATATCCAAAAATGCACATGAAAGAAGTCATTGAATCAGGGTAGATGTCTTTACTCTTATTCTTAGAATTGATATTATTTTCATCCTGAGCAGGAGGAGCCTTGAATTTTCTAGGCTTAGAGCCTGTGAAAGGCTTAGGATTGCAATCTAAGCCAGACACTGCCCGTGACCACGCTGCTGCTGGCCACGCTCGTTTTGGCCTGGCACACCCTCCTCCTTTGGCTGTTGTAACCTCTCCTTCCTCTCCCATCAGGCACAGGCCCTTTCCTCTCCCTTGGGACAGTTCTAACCTGTTCACAGAGAGGCCTAAAGAAATGTGCTTTTCCTTAAATCCCGAGCTGACTAGACGGGTACTTCTCATGCAAGAATATGAGTGTCCACCCTTCAAACAGCCCGCTGGTCTTTAATGCCACTTCTGCCATCGCCTTGCTCCTCCGCCCCACCCTGACCCGCAGGCTTTGCCTCAAAGTATTAAAATGATACCAAGAAGGAGGGAAAAAAAAACAATCTAGGGAAAGGGGGAAGAGTTTTTTCTCCTTCCCCAATATTGGCAAAGAATACCCTGCAACGCAGTTATGGGAGCCCTATTTGTAAGGAGGATAATGCAGGGGATCATCAGAAACCACCTTAAATTCCACTTGCATGAAGAGCTCCGCTACATGTAATAAGAAGCCACTTAGTAAAAAGAGGTTGTCCTATGAGAGAGAAGGGGTTAATAGCCAGCTGAAGCTGAGCCTGGGGGTGGAATAAGGAGACCCTCAATTTCCTCAACTGTAAAATAAGGGCATTGAAATAAATGCCTACAAGAAAGGTCCTTTCTGCACTGAAATCCCTATACTGAAATAGGTTTCTCCTCAACTTGCTTTGAAAGCTTAACAATGCGGGGGAGGGGGGGTGGCGGCGCACAAAGATGGCTGACAACGGGACTGGCCCCAGACCCAAGGCTTGTTGTATAGGAAGGTGGCCATGCTAAGGACCCAGCAGACCACTCTTTCTGTGGACCCCTCTGGCCTACACCTTAGTCTGGCCCTCTGTTATGCCTCCCTTCCTGCAGTGACAATGGTTCTGACTCACCACAGACCCTCTCCACCGCGCATTTTAAAAATGACTAACTTGAGGAGTACACTGGTGGTTGGCAGGAGGATCCAGAAAGTTCCTTCGGGGCATTCCATTTATCTAGCTCAAATTAGAGAGTCAGGAGAATGGAAACAAATGAGGAGAGCAGAAAGAGCCTAGGGAGTTATCTGAGGATTAACACTGATAACCCAGAACATGCAGTGGCCCTAGACAGGAGACCTGTAGAATAAAGAGGTTGTGGCTAGAAAAAGAGGAGATAAAATGATCCTCTGAGGACACAGGGAAATAAGACACTGTCCTTTGAGTACACAGGGCATAAAAGGGCTTTCATACAAAACACAGATAATGCTGCTTCTTTCCTAAGTCTATATGGAGCATTTCCCTTTTTGCTGCAGAACACAAACTCGGTAGAAATTTCTAAGCTAATTGGTTACTGAAGCAAAAAGACGTCAGTTTGAGAAGTGCTCTCTGGCTACCAGCCTGTGGATACAGTCATCTCAGCTGGGAGACCACTGATTCACTTAGGTTTCCTCTGTGTAAATCTACATTTACTTGGCTCCTCAAGCCCCTTAAAAATGGCGCCTTCCCGACATCTTTTCACAGTGTGGAAACAAAGACAAGCCAGGCACAAAAGCTAGGAGGAAAGGGTAGCATGATGAAAAATGAGGAAGTTTCCAAAACGAAGAGCAGGCCCCTCACGAGACAATTGTGCATGGTGCTTCCGAGGCAACTGGCACCTTGGAAAAATGAGTTGAGGAGGGGGCCGGAGGTGCCAGCTGAGTTTCTCAGACCCTGGCCCCTGGCAGGGTCAGATTCTGACAGAAAAGAATTACTCTCAGTATCTCGGGGGTACTATGTGCTTGGGGTGGGCACATACACACCTTTGGGTACCAAAAGCGTTTAAAATTGTCCCTTAGCTCATTCTCTTCAAATATTCCCCAAAGTGGAGGAGTTTCCCACTCACTATTGGAGTTGGGTCTTTGTTCCTCTCCTATAAAAACCTAGTTTTCCTGCTCTCCAGCTCTTCTTCCAAATAAGAAAAAGAGACCTCCTCAGTGTCCCATCACAAGCCACCCAGCAGCAGTTTTTGCATCTAGACACCAGGTCCTCGCAGGCCTTTGGTCTGGTTCTCCTGCTCCCAGGACAGCAGCTGACTCACCCCAAACTTCCAGGAGGCCCCTCAGAGGCTGTCAGGGGCACCCTCCTATCCACATCCCATCAGCACAGACGGAAGTGCCACCTAACCCAGGCCAAGTGTACTTTCCAGGGACAATTAAATACAGGCCTTTGCATAAGAATCTTGCTGGGAAAACAGGCTCTTTGAATCTTGGACCGCATTTAAAATAAATCTCCAGCAGAACTCAAGTTCATTTAGCAAATGATAGCTTATTCTGAACATTTTGACCCTAAACAGGCCATGCATGAAGATGAGAAGAAGATGTTAAATCAAAGCTGTGTTTGAGGGACTGCACAGAGAAACAGCTCCAACTGCTCTTTTCCTTCTGGTTAACGTCAGAGGTGTATGCTTTTTCTAACGTGTGTCCATGTAAAAGAGTGGCCCCACAGTATGAGAGGCACATATTTGAGGAAGGGTGTAGGAGAAGGGGGAAAAGCTAACCAGCCATCCCAACAGAGCTCTTAAAAAGTCTTTAGCTCTGCAACAATGTCAGAATGTAGGAGGATTAAGTCTCCACCACCACCCGTGTTAACCAGAGAAGGCAGACAATCCATATGCAGGGACGTCCTGTGCTGCTGAAGCTTGGCTCCTCCAGCCGACCCCACTATATACATTAGCACATTTTAATCATTAACAGAAAGGACAAAGCTCTAGGAAACTTGCAGGCTGGGGCCACAGGCCATTTTCCCATTCAGTTAGAGGAACGGCTTCAAATCCTGAATTAGTTTAGTTTATGAAGCCCCTTGGCTCAGACGTCCACTGACAACTCTTTCTTGTTCTCAATGAATGCACTTTTCAGTGTTTTTTAGAAAAAGTATTTTATCCATCTGTGATGGATACTAGGCCAATTTTTTACCTTCAATCAATATAAACAGTTAATTGCTTTGATAAATTATTTCTCATTGTAGTATGACTACAGCCATATTAATTACAAGGACTTGTTTGCATAAAAGTAAAGAGGCCTGAAATATTCACACTGGAAAACACATATAGGACTGCATCTGTCGGATAGAATCCTAAACTATGCAACCAAACCAGAGGCTAATGGAGTTTTTTTTCAATTTTTGCCTTTAGCCCAGTAATTTAAATGCTATCTCCTCCCTGAATGTAATAACAAGTCCAACAACATATTTAAAATTAAATCTCAGACTGTGAGCAGTACATTTAAAATCTTTTTTTAAGTTGCTAGGTTGAGAGCTCAAGAATATGTTTTTCTGTCAATTGTCAAAATCACATACAGAAATTAGATCATGTCTAATTAAAATTTTTCTGGGACTAAAAATAAAGCTTTTGATATATATAAAATTTCAGCCTCAGGAAGTATCTATATTAAGAAAATTAAAATCTTGCTCACTGCCAACATATCCAGCATTCTGAAAGATGACAATTTTTAGCTGGATGCTTGGCTTATTTGAATTGTAGCATAAGAAATTTATAAGTCAGAGTTTAAGCCTTAAAGGATCAAAATGACTCAGCTTTGCACATCTACTGTTGAGAAACCAAAATAAGTATTCGGCTACTACTTTAAACAAAATACATTTGAGGAAAAGTAAGTGCTCAGAAAAATTAAAGTGTCGGTGATGCTCCTCCTGATTTGGTTTAAAAAGCCCAACCCTTACAATCACACGTGGGGACCAGAATTAATACTGTTCCCTATAATGACAAAAATTCCCAACCCATCACCCAGGCTGGAAGGTCCCTTATCCATCAAACATGCAAGCAAACACTAAACACTTTTTTCTAGGAAAAAAAAAAATATCCATAGATTTGTAAGTGGCTTCCTACCTATTTGCATAACCCTGCCAAAGACAGAGGTGTTATCCACAGTGCTGCAGTTCCACCGCCGATGTCGGAATTGATACTGGCACTCTTTGATGCCAGTCTTCGCGCCTTCTCCGATGTACTGCATGTGGTCCTGATACAAGTGGCACAGTTTCTTCTGTCCTTGAGAAAGTCCTGCCAGTTGGCTGCAGAGAGGCTGCGCGCCTATGATATATACTTCTGACATCTGAACAGGGTTATTCATACCTAGCGACCTGCAAAGGGGGGCAGATGTGCATTCAAGATTTACATGAGCTCTTGAGGTAGGCCCCCTGAAAGCATGTCAGCAATACATAGTTTCAAGCACACAGATGCTTTTTCTCTCCGGCTTGTCCTCATGACAAAGTATGAGAAGGGCTTATAAAACTCCTCTGTTTAAACTCCACTCAGAAAACGGAGGTATTGTGTAGCCCTCATCCACATCTGGCTGCTCAGCATTTTCCCTCCCTTCCTTGCCCCTGGCTTTCATATACCTGAACAATATTCCAACATCCACTCAGAAACGGGGGAAATGGTGGTTTTGGGGGACCAGCTGTTGACATTAGAGAAAGGGACTCACTTTGCCCCACAGATTGGATTGATCTGCACTGAAAACACGAACGCTGAAAGTAGGCACAGCTAGACATGAGAAGCCAGCAAGGACAGAGGGATGAGGACAGAGGGTGGAGAAAACTCACTGAGTTTCTACACACGTTAAAAAGGCTCCTTATGTGATTGTGAAGGACCCAAGATGGGGCATCCTGTGAACAGAAGTCATGTTTGACAGGCAGAAAAATGCTGCTCATTTACAAGGGAAAAATACCCAGAACGCCATCAGAAATAATCCTCTGGATATTCTGCAGTGCATCTACAAGGCCCTTCCAGAAAGAAGCCCCAGTTAGGGACATTTGACTATGTCAGATTCACCACCTTTTGATTACATTTCAAGCCCAAACACTTCTCCACTTGGAGCTGAGCTCTCTTCCTATGACTGCTACTTCAGACTCTGTAGGTTAATAACCTCCAGTGTCAGAAAAGAAAAGGTCAAACTCACTTTTACTATCTAGAGGTGGCAAAAAGTAAATGTGATAGACAAGCTTACAATTATTAGAGAAGCGAATTTCTGTTCCCTTTTATGACATGATGTACTATAAGCACACGCCTGAACCAGGGCCTCATAGAAAAAAGGTCTAGATCTACAGGTTCCGATTCCCTACGGCCCTGAAGATACGCTTTACAATATTAGAAAGTTAAAAGAAAATCCTGACTTCAAACAGGCATAGATAAAATAAATACGCTATACACATACGTATTAGATAAATGCACCCAAACTCACTCTCCACTTTTGAATATTGCGGCACCGTACAAAAGACTCTTTAAAAAAAGAACACGCACATAGAATGAACTTACCACCAAGAATTGGCTTCTATTACAACCTGGGCAAAGGAGAAAAATATGGCCAAAGCCATTAGGAAGAATTTGGAAGACATTGCACTTCCAGCCGTTCCCAAAGCCACTCCTGGGCTTAATATTCCAATGGGCTTCTGGAGAGGGAAGAAAGGAGCAGATGTTTATTGCCTCTCAGATTATTTTCAAGCATACAAGTTTAAACAACGGAAGCATCCGGGGTCTCTTAAGTTTACTGTTGATTGACTGCACTTCTCCTCCGTGAGTTTTTTGATGGCAAGATATAGGCAGTTGCTTTTTCCAAATTAATCCACCCACGCAACCTCACCAGGAAATCTGATTTCGCTGGGATCCTGTGCGCGGGGCGCGCCAGCGATTACAAACATGTCTCAGTGCCGTTGAGTCAAAGCCCCGGTGCCAGGCGCTGCCTCCTTCCTGCTTGCTGGCGTCCCGTACCCCCTCGCTGCACTCGGTCCCTCCCCAGTCATTCACTCCGGGAACCCGCCGCCACCCTCGTCCTCTCCCCGACCTGGGCCAGGCAACAAGTGGAGCCAGAATTAATTCCAAGGGCGAGAGGAGCGCGAAGGCGAGTGGAGCGCGCCGGCGGCAGCGGAGGAGGCGGGGTGGCCGCGCGGGTGGGGGTGGGGGCAGGACAGGGAGGGCAGGGCAGGGGGTGGGGGGCGAGGCCCGGGGGACGTGCGCGCCAGTGCCCAGCTGGGAAATGCAGCTCCGAATTAACATCGTATGTTTCACAATCAGTTTACAGGCCGATGTTGGGGAAGCCACTTCCAGATGGGGTTAGAGCAGCCCTGGTTTCCTTTAGGACACTCTTCAGCCAGATTGGGGTGGGGAGGAGTGGGGGGGCCTGGGGATAACGGGAAAAGAGGTCTGTTCTCCCAACCAAGGAAACCGGAAAAGAGTGCCCCCCTCCTGTCTGCGGCCTCCTCCTCCGACGGCCCGAGAAGGGATGGAGCCCCAAGGAAAGAAGGGGGGGCCTGGGTCCGCCGTAGGAGGAAATCCTCTCTCTGCGCTTCCCACAACCTCCCCCCAGATGCTGAGCTTTCACTCTCTCTGGTCCCCACGCTGGGCAGCTGCCGCGGAACTCCTTCCCTGACGGGAAGCCCCAAAGCACTCGATTTTCTCCCGGTCCTGGTCTGGAGTTGTCGGCCACCGTGCGATCGCGGCGCTGCGAGCCGGGCCTTGGAACACTGCCACCCCGCCTCCGGCCTCGCCTCTCCGGTCCGGCTCGGACCCTGCTGGGTCAGTTCCGAAAGACAGGGGCGCAGGCGAGATGAGGATGAGTTTCCCGACGGAGCCAGAGATGCGCTGGCCGGGGAGCCGCAGCTGCGCCCCTGGAACGCGGCGCACAGGGGGCCGGCGGCAAAGGGTCCCCGCGTGGAGAAGTCCAGGGCCAGGAGCCGGCCTTGGAAGCTTCCGTGCCGTTCCTCCCCACTGGTGACTTCTCCACCTGCAGGAGGCGACCGGGGAGGCGAGAGCGGGTGGGAAGAGCGGGTTTCCAACATCCCCTTTCAGATCTCGGTAAGTGTAACTGCGGCGCGGGCGTGGCGCGGCACCACCCGCAGCCCCGAGGGAGACCCCTCCTCTGGAAAGGAAGGAAGGCGAGCCTCCTCCAGGCGGCGGAAGGGCCCGGCCTGGAACCTGCGCCGTAAGGGATCGAGGGTCCCAGGCCGCCGCGGAAATGCTGCGGAGCCCTGGCGCTCGCCTCTTGGGCCAGGACACCTTCGGGCCTCTCGGAGAGGCCACGTTTATGAGGTCCTCCGCGCCAGCCAAGCGGGGCGGCACGCCCGGGCCCCGCCGTCTGCAAAGCACCGCAGAGCTAGGGGCGCATCCCGGAGAATGGGAATCTGGGGTTTCCCCAGCCCAGGAGAGAGAGGGCTCAGGCTCGCTCCCCACCCCCGCCCGGAGTGTCAAGTTTCTTCCAGGGGCGGGGGTGGGCAGCGAGGTCTGCCTCGCGTAGCCGGGCTGCGAAGTCGTCGTCGACTCTCCCCAACGGCGGCCGAAGCCTCACGCGCACGCAGGCACACACACCCTCTTGCACATTTACACACTCACAGGCGTGCACCGACACTCGGGTTCCGACGTGCTTACGCGTCGGTGGCCTAGATCGTGGCCGACTGTGGGCACTTTCTGTGCTTTGCTGCGGGCGGGGCGCGGGGCGGGGCCGGGGCAGCGACGAAATTGATAACAGATCCGGAGGATTACAGCGGATCTCTTTGTTAGAGCCGAAGCCACACAAACCGAACCCTCGCTCGGCTGGACGCTCCTGGGGGGAGTCCGCTATTCCTCAGAACCGGGCCCAGCTGGGAGTCGAGTCGTCCGGGGTTTCCGAGAATTGAGTCTCCCCAGCTCCAGGGTACGGGTGGGGGGCCCCAGTGGCACCCGGCGGGAGAGCCCCGCGAGTGGCGTCTCCACTTAACCTCGCGCGCTTGCCCGGAAACACCTTGGCCTTCTTCCCGCTCCAATCCCGCTGCAACCCAGAAAAGGCCTCAGGAGTTTGAGAGACTCGAAAAGCCCACAGCGAAGTCGGTAATAAATACATCCACGCTGCGGGGTGTAACATCCCCATCTGTTTACCAAGAGATCTGATCCGAAAAGACGGTATGAAACGAGACCTCTCGGGAGGCTGTCACACCAGGGGTAAAACAAAAGTTCTGGGCAGAAGCTGCGTCTCCCGAGAAAGAAGGAAATGTTTTCAAACAAGGGCCCAAGGAGTCCACTCCGTAAGGCCCCTGCGAATCTGTTACTCGCATGCTCCGAAGAGGAGGGCAGGGGGCATCGGAGCAGCTCAGCGCAGGGCTGGGCTGAGGAGAAGGAGGGCATTTGGGCGCCCTGGTCTCCAACCTAGACCAGCTCCAAGCCGTGCCTCCCCGCTTTAGGCTCCCCCGTCGCCTTCCCCTGGGATTAAAGGTGTCAGCTGCAGCGTGGGCCTGGGTGATAGGGGTGATGGGAAGGGACATCTGCCGAGGAAAGGTAAGTAGAGGATGTGCTGGGACTCGGGAAAGCCCGTGCAGCACCCCACACACGGGCAGTCCCTCTAGAGAAATGAGCAAAAGGCTAAGCGAACCCTCGGAACCTGGTCACCGGTTCTGCCTCCCTCGGTCTGGGCATCCCTGTTCTAGAGTCTACATCCCGAGCCCAAGGCGGGAGATGGAAATGAGGAGGGACGCCAGCTAAGCGGCCAGGGATCTTGGGGACAAAAAGGATGGGCAGCCCCAAGAAAAATCTCCGCTCTTGGTAGAGGGCGGGGGAGACTGTTTCCATCAGTCTGACCTCTTCCTGAAGCAGGGGGAAGAGATGGAGAAGTTTGTGAGGGTGCGCGGGCATGGCAGCGGAAAACGTGGGACGCCCCCAGGAAAGCAGAGAGAAGCCAAAGGGATAAAGAAAGGGCCGGCCAAGGCTGGTAAGAGGTCCACTTTGGGGGTAGCAGACAAAGGAGCCATTGCTCCCCATGCCTCGAGCCTGTGCTCATGGAAGACAGAGCCACCCGTGCCGCGAGTACGCGGGTCCACAGTGCTGCGTGTATGTACGTGCGCACGCGCAAGCACAGTGGGGTTAGGGTTGGGGAGAACCGCGCAAAAGAAGACAGAGATTGCTCCTGGAGCCGAAATCAGTGCAAGGTACACGACCACCTTCTGATACCTGGGCCTCAGAACAGACAGCAGATCCAGGGACAGCCAGGCTCTGAGGAAGCATGATCGATGTGGTCCTCCTGTTTCCTGCCCCCATCGCCTTGAACTAACACACACACACACACACACACACACACACACCACTTACACTTTGTCACACAGATCTGACTCTCCAAAAGCGCAACTCTTCCAGAGGTGAGCAGAGTCCGTGGGGGAAGAAAGGAAATTAAAAACAAGTCCAGTCGCCCGAGTTTAGCAATGTTTCACCTCCCCTTTTCACTAGATGAGAAACTAAGGCCGAAAGAAGGGAAACGGCACTTGTCTGGGCCACAAAGCGAACCACCGAGACAACTGAGGCCACGCCCGGGGCCTCCTAAGAGAACACTGTCCCTCCTACTTCCACACGAGGTGGCATCCCTCCCCTTCGTCCGGTGGTCTGAGCGCCTTTTGCTGGGTTCGACCCACAGCCCCCTTGTTCTTCCAGCGGCCGCAGTGCCCTCGTCCTCTGGGGGTCCGCAGGGGCTCTGCTAGGGGAGGAGGCTCGGTGGTCCAGAGGGTGGCGGGGGAGCACAGCAGGGAGAGAGAGGAGCGGCGCGGCTCCAAGGCAAGAGCTCGGCGGCGTCCTAGCTCCAGACGGCCGACAGGGGGCAGCCGCCACCGCACAGCGGGGGAGAAAAGGCAGCGGGTACCGCTCGGAGTTCCGCGCGCACGGCGCAAACCCCTCAGACACCGGAGGGCCCCGCCGAGGCGAGGAGAGGGCAAGGGACCCAGGCCGGGCCTCCTAGGGAAGGTCTTCCCTGCGGACACGTGGGGAGAAAGACCAAGGCTAATATGTTCAGGACCTGAGGACTACCGATCCTTTACCCCTACGCGCGCGCGCGCGCGGGGGCACACACACACACACACACACAACCTTGCCCCAGGTCACTGAGCGCTCCCGGCAGCATTTGACCCCTTAAAACTGCCTGGTAGAGGCCATCTAGAAACCAAATCTCCGGCTGGTCCCGCAGCCGGTGTTCGCACGTTGGTGGCAGCGCAGGGCTGCCGAGGTGCATTTTGCAGTCCCCTTGCAGGGCCCAAGTCACCGTTTAAAGAAAGAGGGGAGAGAAGTGGCTCCGAGGGAGACCGAGATTGGAAAGGAAAACACAGCCTAGGGTCTGCGGGAATTCTTTTTACCCCCCCCCCTTAAGAGGGGAGATTGTTTGCTTTTAGGAAATATCTTAATTCCAATTCTAACCATATTATTCTCCAGGAATCAGAAAATGGGAACGACCAGGAAAACTGCAAATAAGGGTCTAAACTTAGAAGGCGGAAAGAGTAAAGGTTGTTTGGAAAACAGCAAGTTATACTGCACGAAAAAAAAAGTTAACTTTTCGTAAAAGTGAACTCTCCGTGACCCTCTGGGTGTGTGACTCGACTTTAACATACAACTGACAATTAAAACAAACACGAGTTCACAAACTGTCCCCCGCCCGCTCTCCCGAAGCGGAGGCCCGAGAGTTTCTAAAGAACAAGGCGGGCTCGGCTCCGGGGGTCGAGCGCGCTCTCCGCGGCGCGGCCGGGATTACAGCCGCCCGGACCACGGCTCCCCGCCCCCACCGCCACTGCAAAGTGCCCGAGTTCACCCCGCGGCGGCTAATAATGCTAATAACGCGACCCCGCTCCCCGAGCCGGGGTGCCCGCTGGCCCCCCGCCAGGCACTCTTAAAGGTACAGGGGCCCGAATCGCTCCGAGATTTGGCGGTGGTGGGGGGCTTGCAACCTGGCCTCGATCAGGCGGCGGGGCTGGGGTGGGAGTAGGGGTGGGGAGGGCGCCGCTCTGGGGTCAGTGGCCCCTAGCCCCGCGGCCGGCTCTCCCGACCACCGATTCCTCCGACCCCTCTCCGAGCCCCGGCCACACGCTCTCCGGGTGCCCGCGCGCAGTGGGCGCCTGATAAATATTTGTTGAATTGAGTCATTATCCCGTTCCTGAAAATATATAGTAAATTACACTCTCGGGGTGGAAGGAAAGGCTTCCATGAACCGCGCTCTGTTTCTGCCATCGCTCTTCCCCACTTTTCCTACAGGCTCGAGAAGGTTTGCAGAATGGCTGGTGTGAGGAGAGGCGGTCTCCCCGGGCAGAGGCAGGGCGGGGTGGGCTGGGGGTGGCAGGGGGCGAAGATGTAAGAGTCCCCGCCAGCCACGCTGGGGTTCAGCCTCGCGCGCGGTGGGAGAAATGGAGGGATAGGAAGAAGTGAGGGGAACTCGGTGAACTTCCAGAAGAAAGAAAGAAAGTGGCGAGCGCTGGCGGCGCACTGAACACCTACCTTCATGGCGAGGGGGAGGGGGCGCGGGGAGGAAGTCGCCACCCCGGCGAGGGCAGCCGAGGAATCCAAGCGGAGCGGCCGGGTTAAGCCGGGGGAGGCTGTCGGGAGCAGGGCAGCAGAGTCCTCCTGGGCGCGTCGGGTGGGCGCAGTGAACCGGAGCCAAAGCGGGCACTGGCGCCCGGGCTTGGGCTCCCAAGCTGGGGCCGCGCGGAGATGGGCCCGGGAGCCGAGCGGGCGCCGAGGTGCGCGGGCGGGCAGCACAGGCTGGGCCGCGCCGGGGCGCACGGAAG